AAGGGTTTGCACCAGTCGAACAACTGCTTATAATCCCCAGGGGAACGGATAAGTCGTACGCGTCAACGGGACACTCTGGAGCACAATCCAGCTCAGACTCAAGACTAAGGCCCTTCAAATCTTACAGTGGGAGCCGGCTCTATCAGACGCCCTCCACTTTATACGGTCCCTTTACCTGCATCTCTACGAATGCCACTCCGTGTGAATCTTGTTTCAGTTTGAGCGTCGGTCATTCTGTGGTTTGTCTATACCAACTTGGCTAACTACTCCAAGACCTGTTCTGCTGAACAGACTTGACTGTGCCTCAAATTATGAATATGAGCAATGAATAGAGCATCAATCGTGTTCATCATATCCGCCACACCTTGAACAGGCCTGTGGATGTTTATAATTCAGTGGTGTTCTTGATCGTAATCTTTCGGATCTTCTCGAATTGGGAAATTCAGGTTCTTCGTAGATAGCATGTTCTTCAGAGATAACGTTCTGTTCGGATACAATAAGATCGTCTACAAAAGATTCATTAGAATTTGAAACAGCAGAAGTACCGTTAACACACTGACCTCTGGTATTGAACTCAACCTGACAAGAGAGATCATCCAAATCGAGAATTGTCACCATACGTTTGCTGTTTGATGATAGTATTATTCCTGTAGCAGGCCGTAAATCATTACCCCTGAGAAACGTAACAGACGTTTTGGCACAGTCGAGACTTGTACGCAACGGGCGAAATTAAAAAAAAGAATCGCGGGACTCTTCCCAGTAACTGAATGAACGGCGTTCCTGTATTGCATTAGAAAATTATCATTCGCACAAAATTCTCGGCAAGCCCATTAGACTGGAGATGTCGTGGAGCAGGAAACAGATGTCGACATACAAGGCCTGTTAACCGTTCCTCGAGAGATTTTGCAGTAAAATGTGTCGCATTGTCAGTCACCAAAGCAGTTGGTACACCTTCGCGGTTGAATACTTTCCTTAATGCATGTTGTGTGAAATCGTAGTATTCACCGAGACAAGGACCGTAGTCGTCGAAATATTTCACAAGCAACTAGCCACGGATACCACTGTGAAGATTTGCTGTGTGTGTGCATTTAACACAATTTTTAGCAGTATACTTGATGTCAGCATTTAGTTCCGACGGCAAGCATGGCAAGCGTGCAAGAGATTTCATTTTATCAGCACCCAGATGATGAGGGTGCAAATCTGCAAGAAGGGCTGCTCGCTGAGTCGGTGTAATTTTAACTCTATCCTCAAAGCACAACAAACCATCCGGAGTAATGAACCTTCGCGGCGACAGTAAAATTCAGGAAATCGCCGTCGGTCTTGCTGTGCCCAGCCACGTTGCAGTGCAGAAAAATGGTAGCAAAATATCTTCCAGTATCAGAAACAGGCGCATCCCGCTTGACTGGTAACGGTAGAATCAAAAAGCAATCTGAATTGTTTGAATCAGAGTCGCATAATGAAATTTTGGATAAGAAATCGGCATGGGAAATCACTTTTGCACTACGTTGAACAATCGTGTAGGTATATGAACTGCGTACAATGATCCACCGTCGCACCATAGCAGCAGATGGCTTCGTTAGAGATTTTTATAGGATAATACAAGAACTGTAAGGCCTCGTGATCAGTAGCAGTGGTAAAGTTTGATCCAAAATGATACTTATGGAGTCGTTTAGCATCCCAATATATCACAAGTGTTTCTCGTTAAGTTTGAGAATACCCACGGGAAATGCAGATCACCGGTCTGCCACTCTTCAAGAACTGCTCCTATTCCAGTGGAAGAAGCATCAGTAATGATGGTCAAATGATGTTTTGCGGAACATGGTTTCAAAACAGCTGAAGTTTTAAGATGGTCACGCTTGCAATGTCTTTTCATGGTTGGAGGACCAAGAAAATTGGTTGGCAGATATGACACCAAACAAGTAACTTGCATGTTTAGCAAAATTAGGAACAAAACTAGCATCATATTGAAGTGTCCCTAGAACAGAACGCAGTCCTTGTAGATTATTTGGTGATGACGCATTTACCAAAGGAGTAAACGGTTTGCATCGCTTTAAAACCACTGCCATCCAAAATGTAACCATGATATGAAGGTGATGGAACTACAAAAGTGCATTTGCCAGGATGAGTGGCTACAGTGAACTCAAGAAATCGCCTCAAAAGAGACAGTAGACGCAACTCATGGCTGGCTTTATCAGCAGCTTGCACTATGACAGTCGTTGAGAAATTCGAACTTTTAAACTGCAATCCAAATTACACACATGTTCTTCCAGGCGGAAAGGAAGGCACTGGATCCGTCCGCCATTCGCTCTTTGACCGCACATTTGTCAACGAGTTCACACGTACCTCATCCAGTGAAGGCAGTAGCGTTCATACATCCACTCTGTCTGACCTACGCGCGCTTTGACACGGTAACGTTAAATATAACGTCGATCATACTTCAGTCCGTCCCCGTGCCCGGGCGATGGACCTGCACCTCCAAATACATATGACTACATATTAAGAGACCGAGAAGCGTGACCACATTTTTCATTACCCCTTTTTATAAATTTTTACTATCAATCTGCATTCAGTCCTTGTGTTGGAGTTACACCTTTCTACACACAATCCAAGGGCCTGGATAAATGTCATGAATATCCATTGTATTTACTTTATCACTTTTGTATTAACCATGCTTCACCTTCACTTGTAGCTTATGTACACCTATCCTTCGACAAGTAAACCGCTATTTATTCTGTGCAATACCGTCCAGTTCTTGCGCTCACTCAGGGCCCATACTCTACCCTTAACAGTGAATACCAGTTATCGTTCAATTGTAACACCCTTTCGATGCCTAGCTGTTATGCCATCAGAAAGAGGCGCGAGGACTGGGATACTGCCAGGTTGCTCAGGCCTAGACAGGAGCAGTGGAAATGCAGTAGTTGGGTTCGAACCGCAGATATTCCGGTCAGTAATTTCGCTCCGTAACCATTTAGCTATCTCGAGCTCATGACAACCGATAAACACGTGGTAGTCCGCCGGTTCGGTCCACCAGCTTAGGGTGATGACCATGTATACTCAGCTTACCTACTGGCTTGATCAATCGCCACAGAGATGGGTACACTCCGAGTTGCAGTACCTTGTAGATCATAATATGGTTGCCGTTGACTCCACAACGATTAAGTTAGAATAATTTCAACTGCGTGCACCGTTTTAAGTATGCTTGCTGGCCTGCTGGTTTTCTGCGCACACTGGCGACGTTTCGTACAGTAACGGAAGTTTTGTAAGTCAGTTACAGATCATCTGTCATCTGATCACCAGCCAGTGAACTCATCCGAGCTTTCATTGCTAACTCGGAAGCGAGCTTGTCGTAGAGACGTACATATTCACAAGAAGAGGTATAAGAGCCTTTATAAGAGGAGAGAATTTATAGGGACACTCCTGGTCAGATACTTTCACATTTCCTGGCGGCCAACGGAGTCATAAGCTGCGTCCCTTTTTGATCACTAGAAGCACTGCAGTTTCAGCACCTGTTGCACTTGCTTCTCGCAAATATAGCTTTCCTGATGATGGATCAACCAGGGGTCATCCTAAAAGCAATGGTTACTAGACTGATGCCCTAATGGTGGTGATGGGGCCAATCTGTTTTGAACTTCTGACTGCAGGAATAGTACTTATATGCTACGGATGTCATGAGTCCACCTAGAGTGCCCAGTGCACCCCAAAAACACGTATCCCATCGAGCCCCGAGGAGGTCTAGCCAGGTGAATCTTCACACATTATTCCTGCCATCTGTGAAGGCCGCAGCGGTGGTCGATTGAGAGTGAATGTCTGGAGATGTAGGCACCTCGGAATGATTGTGTTAAGCTAGCACTAAGTCCCTCCCCCATCCACCTCTATTCTTTTCTTTACAATAAGGCTTTCAAATAAGTCATGGCTGTACGGCAGTGAAGCATTGGTGTTGAGCACTGATGTCATGCTGTTGTTGATGATGATGTCTCTTCAAAAACTGCTGCTATTCCAGTCGAGGAAGCATCAGTAATGATGGTCAAATGATGTTTTGCGGAACATGGTTTTAAGATGACCACGCTTGCAATGTCTTTTCATGGTTGGAGGACCAAGAAAATTGGTTGGCAGATATGACACCAAACAAGTAACTTGCATGTTCTGTTCCTAGAACAGAACGCAGTCCTTGTAGATTATCTGGTGATGTCGCATTTACCAAAGGAGTAAACGGTTTGCATCGCTTTAAAACCACTGCCATCCAAAATGTAACCATGATATGAAGGTGATGGAACTACAAAAGTGCATTTGCCAGGATGAGTGGCTACAGTGAACTCAAGAAATCGCCTCAAAAGAGACAGTAGACGCAACTCATGGCTGGCTTTATCAGCAGCTTGCACTATGACAGTCGTTGAGAAATTCGAACTTTTAAACTGCAATCCAAATTACACACATGTTCTTCCAGGCGGAAAGGAAGGCACTGGATCCGTCCGCCATTCGCTCTTTGACCGCACATTTGTCAACGAGTTCACACGTACCTCATCCAGTGAAGGCAGTAGCGTTCATACATCCACTCTGTCTGACCTACGCGCGCTTTGACACGGTAACGTTAAATATAACGTCGATCATACTTCAGTCCGTCCCCGTGCCCGGGCGATGGACCTGCACCTCCAAATACATATGACTACATATTAAGAGACCGAGAAGCGTGACCACATTTTTCATTACCCCTTTTTATAAATTTTTACTATCAATCTGCATTCAGTCCTTGTGTTGGAGTTACACCTTTCTACACACAATCCAAGGGCCTGGATAAATGTCATGAATATCCATTGTATTTACTTTATCACTTTTGTATTAACCATGCTTCACCTTCACTTGTAGCTTATGTACACCTATCCTTCGACAAGTAAACCGCTATTTATTCTGTGCAATACCGTCCAGTTCTTGCGCTCACTCAGGGCCCATACTCTACCCTTAACAGTGAATACCAGTTATCGTTCAATTGTAACACCCTTTCGATGCCTAGCTGTTATGCCATCAGAAAGAGGCGCGAGGACTGGGATACTGCCAGGTTGCTCAGGCCTAGACAGGAGCAGTGGAAATGCAGTAGTTGGGTTCGAACCGCAGATATTCCGGTCAGTAATTTCGCTCCGTAACCATTTAGCTATCTCGAGCTCATGACAACCGATAAACACGTGGTAGTCCGCCGGTTCGGTCCACCAGCTTAGGGTGATGACCATGTATACTCAGCTTACCTACTGGCTTGATCAATCGCCACAGAGATGGGTACACTCCGAGTTGCAGTACCTTGTAGATCATAATATGGTTGCCGTTGACTCCACAACGATTAAGTTAGAATAATTTCAACTGCGTGCACCGTTTTAAGTATGCTTGCTGGCCTGCTGGTTTTCTGCGCACACTGGCGACGTTTCGTACAGTAACGGAAGTTTTGTAAGTCAGTTACAGATCATCTGTCATCTGATCACCAGCCAGTGAACTCATCCGAGCTTTCATTGCTAACTCGGAAGCGAGCTTGTCGTAGAGACGTACATATTCACAAGAAGAGGTATAAGAGCCTTTATAAGAGGAGAGAATTTATAGGGACACTCCTGGTCAGATACTTTCACATTTCCTGGCGGCCAATCTGTGACGATCCAGAACACAGGTGATCATTTACGTTCTCCCAAACCTGACCGGAGGGAGGTTGGTGATTCTTCTAGGCCGGTTACATGGGCCCTGATTGGATACCGCTATTGGGTGCTTGAGGCTTTTTTTAGAAACCAGCTGACCAAGCTGGCACACTTCGCGCAGTGGTAGTATCGCCGCTGCCTGCACAGGACTGCTTATTCGCGAGATGAGCCAAGTGATTAGAGCGCGAATTTACTGACCGAAAGGTCCGTGGTTCGAACCCGACCTCTGCCTCTCGACTT